TAGCGGTGTCTTATTGCGCTAATTACGTTTACACGTTTTGCACATTGGGGCGCGCGGAAACGGTAATTTTAAATTATTTTCGTATGTCTGTAAACTGGCCAATAAAGACCCAAATCACAAACAACTCATTCATATTTTATGACTCCCTTGTAGTCTTTTATCCCATAACTATTAATTGACCGTACTAAGGGTCGGTTATTTAGAAAATACAGGAGCCGAAGTAATCGGCTCCTGGAAAATATGTATGTCAGTTTTTCGTTTCATCAGATTATCGGTTTTTCTACTCATAGTTTATAAAGAAAACTGACGAATAAAATGTCTAGGAATAGCGGTATAAGGCGACTAAGATCAGTTTATTTTTAATCTCTAATTATCTAGCCAAGGGTATTCTCGATCAAATGACTCTTGAAACGGTACCAACGATAATGGCTTGCAATTTCTGTTTCCGCTGCCAAATCTACCTATATGTCCATGAAAGAGTACCAGGTGTGGGAGAAATCTATAAAGTAAAATTAAACAATAGGGGCACGGTGATGGTTTTCTTGCTTGTATTTGAGGGAAACGATTAACGTTACGAAACTATAGCAAATGCATCTTCTTTTTAATATTCATTGTCTTTCAAGATTTTGCTTGAACACTATACTTGATATGTAATTCATGCAGGCAGCCGTATCAAAAGAAGAAATCTTGCCGTTACGGCTTGTCCAACTTCAAACTGGTTTTGACTCTTGTGGCCAACTCAAGCTCTCTATAACTTAGCTTACACATAAGGAGGTAGAACTAGTTCCCCTTTAAATTAAGTATCACACAACGGTAATCCGTATCGGCTTAAAGACGGAAAATACGTGAACATAACTTTCGACCAGCGTGCTCATGGACTCGACGAAATTTTCAAGTCCTATCTTGAAGGCTGAGGTCCTTGTAGCTGACGTGTTAAACCACAGTAGCCAGGGTAATATAAAACTCAAGTTGCAAAGAAAAAAATCTAAATATTAACGAGATCAACGCCGCCCCAAAAATCTGCCCCAGAAAATACTGTACGCTCTTGCATTTTTTAGGAAAAATGAAGTGGTAACGAATTGTTTTATAAGAGAGTAAACAATAACACTGATTAAGACAGCTGCTGGTATTCATACTGATAGATAAGTGTTTGAGTTTGATTTCTTAATCAGAATCGCCTTGCAAGCCCATCAGATTTTGGTCCTCCTCACCACTACCACTTACTACCCACCCCACTCTCCCCTAACGCTGTTCTTCTAAATATGGCCAAAAAGGGGGTGCGCAGGAAAGATGTCAAGCCGCCGATTTTCCAGCGGTAAAATTTAAATATGGCGGAATTAGAAGAGGCCGAATTAAAACTATCACGCTGTTTTGAACGTCAGAAAAGAGGTAAAATTAGTCTTTCAGAAAGAAAGAAAAATAGAAATATTTGATTAATCATATAAAGTGCATTTTATTGCATTTCAGGCAAACGATAATGAGCTTAAAGCTGCTCACAGACGCATCAAACAGATCAAGATCCTGCGGAAAAGAAAGTAAGGTTTAAAAAAGCTTAGGACCTGTTCGCACGAACCAAAATTCTGTTTCCTTTGCCTAAGAATTTGCCAACAGGGAACCATTTCAGTTGAGAACATTAAATAAAAAATTTAATGTTTTCAACTGTCACCAAATTCAGTTTAAAGATGATCTTTAAAGGAAGATGGCGTCGAGAAAATTTGAAAGCCTACAATTTTTTGTCAAACGACAGACTCCTCTCTTCTTTAACAGCTGTCCTTCATTATGTTGTACAAAATCGTTCTTTGACCGAAACTTAAAAACATGCAGCCGTTTCTGAAAACCTTGTTAATATGACCATCTCCTCCTGGGAATTTTGCATGGTATCCGGCGGCCATATTGGTGTTCCTGAAAGGGACACCAACATGGCGTTTCCATACAAAGCTTTATAAATTTAGGTAAACCGTTTTTCCCAATATCTTGCATTTGAAATATTTCACAGACCTGATTCTTGACAAGGGTTTTTGTATATTTATCTTTTTTTATTTCCCAGATTCTAGTCCTTCTGTATTGAATGGTTTG